CTCTAAAACATACTAAAAATTCATATGCATTGGTGACGTCATTGTTTGGTTAGGTAGATTTATGGCAGATTAAAGTTTATTTAGTGCCCCTGCTCGCCGGAGGCGGGCTGATATGTTAGAGTATTTTATTCGCAGAAAGCATTAGTTTTATATATTTCCTAGTACAATATCGGAATTTCATACAATTCCTAGGAATAATGTACAATTTACAGATTTAGCACATTAACGTGACACAAACGCTATCAAACCTGATTCTACTAATCCAAAATTATTTTTCTGTTTAACAACACTGAGTACTTTAAAATAACTCGAAGTGGCCCATATGCATACGTAATCCTAAAATGTAGCATCGTGCTACAGATGGCGTTTACTGCGCCATTTGTAGTATTTTCTAAAACTGAGTACTTTGTCACAAATGTATTCAAATTGGTGTATTATATTAATGTGATTCTGTGGTTTGTGTTGTTTAAACGACAATTTGTTTTGTGTCCCTTTATTCATCTCGTGTTGATGTTTCGTTTTGTAGTTCTTATGTAAAGGAATCCGGTAGGTATACATTTGGTGACGCTAGAGAGGGTCTTTTTTGTCTTTTGGCTGATCGAAGTAATTCCCCAACTTAATTCGTGCATTGAATGTACTTCAAATGCTGATTTTTTTAGTAGTCTTCCGTTTACCATTAGAACGAAAAAAATTGGGGAATATCTTCAGCCAGCCTAAGACAAAAGAGACCCTCTAGTGGCACCAGGTGTATATTACATTCCTTGCACGTGTGGAAAAATTTACATAGGAACTACAAAACGATCCATCAACGCAAGAATAAAAGAACACAAAGCAAATTCCTTACGTAGTATTTCAACACTCCCTGAACCGGTGCATAAAATTATGAAGAATATGGTTTTCTCCAATGAAAAATTACAAATGTCGTTAATAGCTTCGTCTAAGCTACTATATAATATCTAATTATTCTCCCAAATTCCATTCGCATCTACGATTGTATGTAATGGGCAAACTGTTTTTAATTTCGCCAGTCTACTATGGTAGATTGTGGCGAGAGCATTGTTGTGTAGTGTGTAAGTAAGTAGATGCTTCTGAAAGTGATTATGAGACTGCAGTTTCGTACACTGCATACGAACGTGTAGAGTGATTTTGATGGAGTTGTTCCGGAATTCCGTTAATTAATGAATTTCAGCTTCCTCCAACTAATGCAGCAAATAGAGGCAGTCGTACGTACACGTCCTTGCATATATGCATGGTACTACTGTACACTCGCGCACCTTCAAACATAAGTTCTCACAAAACGTCTAGTGGTATAATTCTGTTGCTTGGAACGTAGCTACATTTGTGAAACACTCGAGGGTTGATTACAATTCACGGCGTTTTTTAGTCTCTAATATTAAATTTCCATCAAGATGGTTACCATCCACTTACCTTAAGAGTTCTCGAGCGCTCTCTGAACCCGCTATCACGAGTAAGTAATACTTTACTCGGGGATTGTACCTATCTTTTCTGGGGAAAGTGCATAAAACATAAATAGGAAGACTTTGACGTTCTCTTTAGTGAATCAACTGCTTTTTTATTTTGTTTCCTTTGTTGGTTAAAGTTTGGTGACATTTTAGGTTTTTATCATAACATAAAAACAAATGTCTCTACAATATGACTATAGTAACATGTTTTTGAAGCTAGATCGAAGATGGTGTCGGTATCGATCTCCTGCGGCATTCCTTCATAACAATATGATCTTAGTGGGCACTTTTTAATGTTCGCATTCCAAATATTGTTTTTAGAATAATTTTTAGTGCCTGTTATGTATCATGGACGCTAGGGTTAAATGATAATTTTAATCTTTTTAAATTTGTGTGAAAAAATCCGCCACTTATTCTTCGTAATTATTTATTCACTGTTCTTGTGTTATTATTTGTGTTGTTTTAATTCTGTGTAAATTTGAGACTAACAATGTCTTAGATTGTGTTGAAATATAAATCCAAGTTTTCGTTGTTAAAAGTTGTAAAGTTCGTACATTTTTCATCGTTATTATTCTAGTGCCCGATGGACTTTAAGAACTTCTGCAAGATGTCTATTTTAATAATTAGTACAACTTTCTTGTACCAGGAGACTTAACTAACAAAGTTACGTTTCCTTCCTGCAGTTTGTCAGGAAGTGTTTCTATAGTTATTGCTTTTAAAATTAAGCAGCAGATTGCTTTCTTTATACAACCATTTGTATTTTTTTTTAAATAATTTTCATTATTTTTTGATATCAATTAATACCATTTGCATTACGAATGAAATACAAATAATTTATTTTTCTTTTGTTACAGGTGAGTAAATTTCCGTTTTCTTAACACCTAAGATTCTATTAATGGATCCGGTAAGTAAATAGATGGAAGCTTTAACAAATTTTTTTGTCTAATATTTTTTCGTTTTTAACACCAATGGATAGATAGCGTTATTACGATAACTATTTGTGTTACAATACTACAATAATTTTCTGACGTATCACCCATGTCCTATTTCATTGTGCAACTATTAATTATGAGTTAATAGTTGTTAGTCTTAAATTGTTAAGAATTTATTATATGATCATCACTTTACAATACTTATTTGTTTTGGTAAATTTCTAGATGATGGCCTTCGGAGGTGGGGGTGGGTGGGAGCGAAAGAGGGTGATCACCTGAGTAAAACCCCATAAAAAATTTGCGTCGGTCTCACCCCCCATAAAAAGTTGTGGGGGTTGAAAGTTGATTATTTTGACAATTTTCATACACTATAATTCAAATAAAATTCAATAAAAAAAATATTTTCAAGCGNAATAAAATTCAATAAAATAATTATTTTCACGCGGGTGGAGGTGGGGGATGGAAAGAGGGTGGTCACTTGAACAAAACCCGATAACCTAACCTAACCTAACCTACCCTATGTGTTTTATATAACATTCTCAATATTTTTATGTATTTTTCATTAGTTTTACTTTTGAATATTGTTTAAGAATGACTATATAAATATTTACATGCCTAGAAATGTATAAAAATTAGCATATTTATTAACATTGAACCCCCATAACTTTTTATGGGGCTGAGACCGCCACAAACTTTTTATGGTACAGTGGTGTGGGAGACCTCCTCCTTCGACCCCCCCCCCACCCCGAAGAGGAACTTTACCTTTGTTTTTTGTGCATCTGATGTAACATACGATAATAATCTCTCATATACGTATACAAAATGCATATGTGTATAAGTTTGGGAATAATTTATTGGAGCAATTTGAATTCTCATTCTCCTTCAACTGGGTCGTTTTAAAGAAAATGAAAGAAGAATGACCGACAAGTTTTCCGGCTAAGATTGCAGAATGCATCCTTATATTATGCAGAAGTGAATCGGGTCAATGTTGACTTTTGCTAGTGTAAGGCATGTGAAATATTGTATCTGATTTATGTATATTAGTTTTACCTCTGACCCGACGGCTCCGCGTTCCTTATTTATTTATGTATGTTATGTATGAACTTGCGTACGTCTTGCATGGAAATCGTTGGACAAAAATTATTTATCGTCTTGAATAATTTATTATGGTTAAAAAATGTACTGCTGGACCAACGAGACATGGTCCCTCGGATTGTAACGCCTACTAATGCGCATTGAACGATTGCTATTCTTGTGTCAAGGTAAATAATCATTTAAGTTCAGCTCTTTTTCGAGCTAAGAACTTGATGCACACTAATTGGCCCGACTGTACTTTTCATAATCAATATAGTGGACGGCTAGAAAAACAGATTAAAAAAGTATGTACGCGAACGATTAATTTAGAAATTCGAAAAAGGTTGTTGAAGGTGTATGTTTGGAGCGCGACGCTGTACGGGTGCGAAACATGGACAAAGAAAAGGTTAGAAACGTTCAAAGATTTATGAGGATACCGTGGATAGAGAGAGAAGGTTAGAAATGAAGATGTATTAGAAATAAGGAAAAAATTGACGAGATAAGTTGGTAGGACACCTTCTCAAGTATAAAGGTCTAGTCAGAGACATATTACAGGCAGAAACAGGAGTTAAGAAGAGTAGAGGTAGACTTAGATTAGATTACTGTTCACAAATGGTTAAGGATGTTGGGATGTTCTAGTATTAGGGAAATGTGAAGATTAGCTCAGGATAGGAACGAGTAGAGGTGCGTGTCCAACCAGTCTTAAGACTTATGATGATGAAGGGTGGAATAAATAGTGTGTTCCCAATGGTTACCCCCTTGTGCATTTCGGTATTTTTTCCGAGCGCGAGCGACGTCCTTTTCTAGCCGAATGCGGTTCTCGTTTCTTATCTGCACCGTAAGTAAAAAAGTTAAAGACTACCTCTCGATGGTTCAGCTGTACTTTCCTGAATTTTTGCAAATAGGGAAACCTTCTGAAAAGAACCTTAACAGAAAGTGGTAATAATGAACAATAACAAAAACCAAAAGGTTACATGAAAACCTTAGTTCTGTTTCTGTTTGTTGAATCCTGATGTTGTTTTCAAACTTCTTGCGGTTCGTAAAATATATCTTGCATTTTCACAAATCTAATATATTTTAAAATTCAAAGTTGATCTTCTGATTTATATTTGATATATTTTTTAAATAAGTATATAGTTTGCTTTTAAAACCTTTTTATTGTTTTACATGTGTGCTTTTATCAGTTTTATTTTATTTGCAATTGAGTCAAAATTAGAGATGGGTCGGGTACGTGGTTCGGATTTGGTACTCGGCAGATCCGGCATTTTTTTAAAGATCTATCCTGGTATTGGATAATTACAAGTTAAATGTATATATTTCAAGATTTCTTTTGTGTTTACTTACTAACTAGGATAAGAAGTTATAACCATCATAGTATAGCATCATCATCAATATCGTTCAAACCATTCAAGCTATCTTTATCTGTCGAACTTTTATCAGTCTATATCAATTTCCATAATATTTTCAATTATCAAGTAACAACAATAATACAGTTAATCATTTCGATTAAGTTAAGTCAGTTTGTATATAGTGTAAAGTACGTTATTAAATGTATGTATCATAAAAAGACTATCATTCCATCTCAAAATCGACATCAACATATTAATATCAGGCAAAACTACCCTAATCGTAGTAAATTATTGTTAGGGAATTAAAAACATGGTCCTTCGAGCCGGATTTTTCTAAAAAACTATAAGTGATACTTCAATAACGAAAAACCTACCTAATGAAAATTGGCTTTTAAGACTGTGCTGCGATAGGTTGTTTGTCCTTATTTGTAGTATTTATTGTTTACTGTACTAAATTATTTGTTATTTCGTTATAATTGTTGTGTGTACTTTTTCTCGTGAACAAGAACCTTCTTTTATTAAACTTGTGTCTTGTAAATCTCTTCATTGTGGTTGTAAAAAGGTCCTAATGGCTATGGTATGGTTTACTTATTCTTTATCGATCCCATATTTTCAATTTCGTTTTTGTAGAATTGAGTAGATTTATGTTACAGTTCTTGGGTGAATTCAATTTTATTTGGCAACTTAATAATATAAAAACGCATTATGCCTTAGCATGTGATAGAAATTTGCATGATGTTTATTACAAAATGGTAATTATTTAAGGACGTACCTACTTGCTTTGTAAACCCTTTGTATCGGTGAAACACTGTTCGAATTTGCATTTTGCCGAAATCGTTTAAAAGTTTGATGAAGTACTTACCGTCGCAATCGTGAATTTTGTTTAAAATGTAACATTGTGATTGTGAATGTTTATTAATAATCGTATAATTATATATATAAATTAAAATTAAACCAACACGGTTTCCTTTTATATTTTTATTTTTAATCATACTACAAACGACCCTCGTAATTAATGTGTTATGAATGCATGGAAGTTGAATTATTGAAATATGTTTCTCCTGAAGAAAGCCAAGAAGATAGCAGAAGTTTATCAGCATGATCGTCGAATGGTTTGCTGTATTTTTTTATTTGTTTTATTGTACCATTTTTTATAATATCCTTTCATTCTTTTTCGTTTAAGGATGTAAGGATTCAAAATTAATTTTATATATTCAGAAGCTAGAAACATGATCCATGTAGATTCATGTACTTACTGAATTGTATGTAACATTTATGGTACGATCTCTTAAATAATATATACTCTTAATTTAAGTTAGTTTTATTTTTTATCTGAATATCCTTTTTTCATTTGCATTTATATCATTTGAAGGTCTATATTTTTCAGCTGTGTTGTAAATACAGTAACTAAAACAAAAACCAAAAATAATGATAATATAATAATAATGGTTCAACGTTGAGAAAAATGTATTTAAAATAAGGTATAAGGCATTATTTTTATATTTAAGTAGAACTGCTTCAAGAAAGTCACTTCTATGCTTGGCTGATTATCTTTGGACATTTCTGTCTTTCATTACAGCCATGTACGAATTCCTTTTATGCTAGCAGTGGGTCAGATGTTTATAAAATAAAATCAATAAAATATACCGCACCCTTCCTGACTCTAAATGATGGAAATGTATTTCAAGCCCTTTTGAAACCACTCCCTATACAAATTAAACGACTTCAATACTTCTTAACTTTCTGAATGAATTTTTCATTTACTGAATCTTTTGCCAGCCGCAAAAAAGATTCCTGAAAGAAAACTCTGAAACCAGCAAATTAATTTTTGTTTGCATTTGAAATGAGTAGGCAGGTTTAATTAATTGCATTAATGAAAAAGCAGATAGCGTTATTGGAAAATTAAAAAAGTCTGTATCAATGCATAAATGCTGTAAAAGCAGTATTTTAATTTTTGACGTTAAAATTGTTTTGGTTTTTTGTTTTTCATTTTAAGGATAATAAAAAGTTGAGAGAATTTTTGCTAAAGGTGCGTATACATGTTCGAGATGCGGCGATGAGAGAACGGGGAAGTGACGCGCGGTAAACGGTCTCGGTTTGTCCCAAAACTATTCGGAGTCGTATCCGTTTTAAGTAGATATTTTAGGACGAATGAATTTCATTTGAAATGGACGTTATTTATGCCCATTTGAGGGCATGACCTTCGGTCGGTTTCGTTCAGAGTTGGTTCGCCTTGTCTAGAACGTGCTAGAACGTGTTCGTGCTCAGGTGTGTACGCACCTTTAGAGATTCAAAACATTGAAGAATCGAATAGAAAATTAATACATATACATTTTTCTTTCAAATTCAAGTATCTATACTTGCGTTTACTGTTCGATATTGGAATAATATTCCAAAATTCCTTATTTATATTATTTATTTGTTGCTTATTTCAATAAAGAGATAAATGTAGTAATTGTTTTTTTTACTTACGGTATATATACCTACAGTTTCTCAGCGTAATTTCTTTATTAAATAAATGCCATTAACGTTTATTGTGCGTTTAAACTGTGTTGCTACCCACAGCAGTTGTTCTACATTTTCATATTGCTTCTGTATAAGTAACTTTTGTGATAAAACTTGTCCCAAAACGAAAATTTTGGCCTCTGGTTATATCTCAAAATACAGTTTTTACTTTTACGAGGCGTCGAAATGTAAGTAAACTTTCTTTACAACCCGATGCGGGGTACTAAAAACTTTTATTTCTCGTATATTATCCAATTTTTTCAGCATTCATGTATGTATGAACGGTTACCCTTTTTATAGGTAAAATGTAAAACTGAAATAATCGTGTTATAAGCAAGAACGATAATCGATAGTATTGATTGGCATCTGGGTATAAAATTTAGTCTGCATTTGGCAAGAAAAATAAACGTAGGTAGAAATACTTCCTGTGTTACGTACTTTTTTATTATTTTTTTTTTGTTCGTTAATATCTTTGCAAAAGCTAGCAAACTAAACTTTCGTCGTTTTTCAGGTTAATTAAATAAAAATGGCTGACAAAAAAAAGAACATCCCCGAACAGAAACTTAAAGCCTTCTCGATCGGCACCATGGCGAAAAGAAAACTCTCAAAGAGAGAGCTAGAAGACCTGCGAAAGAAAGAGGAAGAAAAAGCAGTTGCCCATGTCTTTCAGGAATTTGTTGAAACATTCCAAGAAGTACCATCGAATGGATCGAAAGCATGGGTGAAAGCAGGTACTTACGACGCCGGTGCCAGAAAGGAAGACACTAGAGAGAAAGGCAAACTATACAAACCCCAATCAAAAATTACCATCCCCCAAGATGTGGTGTCTTCAGTTGAGAGGGCTCAAGCAACAGCTCGAATATTGGCAACTGACAAACCTGAACGTTTAGGTAGAAAGAAGGCACCAGAGAAATCGAATCTAGAAGCGTTCAAAGAGGAATTGAGAAGAATCCAAGAAGAACGGGAGGAAAGGCACAAGTATAAGAGTGTTGCCAAAGCATCAGTGGAAAGTGAAATGAGTTTACTTTTAAAATCGGAAGATCTCGAAAGCGATCTTACAACAACGAATCTATTTCTTAGAAATTTGAATCCGAAAGTCACTGAACAGCAATTAATGGAAATATTCGGGCGATATGGACCGTTAGCCAGCATCAAAATTATTTGGCCACGATCTGAAGAAGAAAAGGCTAAAGGAAGTAATTGTGGTTTTGTAGCCTACATGGCGCGTAAAGATGCGGAAAGAGCCCTTAGAAATTTAAATGAGAAGGAAATATCCGGTAGTGATATTAAACTGGGTTGGGGAAAACCTGTAATACTACCACCATTTCCTATCTATATTCCTCCACCTTTAATGGAATTGTCTATGCCCCCGCCACCTTCAGGACTTCCTTTCAACGCTCAACCGATTGCTCAAGATCGCGATATTCTACCAAAGACTCAAGATGAACTTAATCAAATCCTTTATAGAGCCGTTGTGAAGGTGGTTATGCCGAAAGACAGAGCACTATTGATTTTGATTAACAGAATGGTAGAATTTGTTGTCAGAGAAGGTCCTATGTTCGAAGCTATGATAATGAATAGGGAAATCAATAATCCGATGTTCCGCTTCCTCTTTGAAAACCAAAGTCCTTCGCATATTTACTACAGATGGAAAGTATTTTCCATTACTCACGGGGAATCACAAAGGGAGTGGTCGAACAAAGAATTTAGAATGTTCAAAGAGGGATCGATATGGAAGCCGCCAGTAAAAAATTGTTACACGACTGGTATGCCTGACGATTTGGTCGACGATGACGGTGGAAAGGATTCGGCCAAGGCGTCTCTTTCTAAGAGTGAGAGAGATCGTCTTGAGCATCTGATTCGTCACTTGACTCCTGAAACGAAAAAAATAGGAGAAGTGATGGTATTCTGTATCGATCATGCGGAAGCAGCAGAAGAAGTTTCCGAATGTATCAAAGAATCGCTCTCGAACGAGTCCACCATAATTACAAAGAAGATTGCTAGACTGTATCTTCTCTCAGACATCCTTCATAATTGTGGAGTTAAGGTGAATAAAGCATCCTTCTATAGAAGAGCCATTGAAACTAGACTGGTGGATATTATGCGTTATTTGAAACAAACCTATGACAAGTTAGAAGGACGGTTGCAAGCCGAAGGTTTTAAAGCCAGAATTTATCGAACAATGAAAGCTTGGGAAGACTCGATCTACCCAAAAGATTTTATGAGAGAGATAGAAAACGCATTTCTAGGATTAGAGAAAGAGGTTAAAAAGCCTGATCCTGACCTTGGCGACGATATAGACGGTGATCCTTTGCAGGATGCTCACGAAACTGACGAGGACACGCCGATGGACGGTGCAGCTCTTTTAAAAGGTGCTCTAAAGCAGCAGCAACAACAACATCAACAACAGTTTATGAGAAGTCCTACCCCTGGTGGAGATACAGATATAGACGGCGAAGAAATTCAAGACATGGATGAAAACGTGAAACAGGACGGTTCAGCGAAATCGGCTCCACCGTCTTCTTTATCAGGATTTATCTTGTCCAAATGGGAAACTGTTGATCCCGAACAAGTAGAAGCACAAGCTATGACGACCAGTAAATGGGATTTACTGGAAAGTGACAATAGTCAGGACAGCCCAAATCAAAATTCAAACGACAATTCTGAATTTAGGGAGGTGCAAGAGAAGCGTCGAACAAAACTAAGAGAAATCGAAGTGAAAGTGGTGCAATACCAAGACGAATTAGAATCCGGTTCTCGAAATCTGAGATCCGGATGGACTGTGCAACAGCAAGTTCAGCATTACAGAAGGAAACTCCTGAAAAAGTACGAAGACGAGATAACGAATGAAACTGATAAAGAAGTGGACGATAAAAGTGAAAAGGGTAAGACAGATTACGATAAAAGCGAGAGGGGTGGCGCAAGCTCAGACGATTCTTATTATAAAAGCTCGAGTGCGAAAAAGAAGAAAAAGCGCAAGCGCAGCAATTCTAGACATAGATCGAAATCTAGATCTCCGTCTCGTAAAAGAAAGGGAAATAGTCCACCTTCTGCTAGAAAAAGGCGTAGTTCGCCGGAATCTTCTAGGTCTAGAGGGCATCGGGATAGATCACTATCACCCTACAGTTCTCCACGAACTTCTTCAGCTCGTTCATCAAGACATAGCATAAAATCACCGTCTCCGGTCAAGTATCGATCACCTTCGCCCAGGAGATACCGCGATACCACTCGTGAAACCAGAAAGCATAAACATAAACATAGATATTAGTAATAAAATATTTATTTACACATAATATGTATGACAGTTTAGGTTTGTGCTAAATAGATAAATATTGTAATCGCCATTGAATTATTAAATGCTTGTGTTTGATGATAAATATTGATCGATTTTTTAATGTTTAGGTAATTATCGTCTATCAAATAAGTATAAATAAAACCTGATTTAATGTAGCATGTCACTAATTAACTGTTGTATGTGGTAATTAATAATTACGAACGTTTGGGTTGAATAAACCAATTACCCATATCAAAATCGAATTCTTTTATTTCCATTCAGTCAGTCACCTTCAATAAAAACGTTTGTCAGGTTTCCTTCAAATTTATCATTTATGTAGAACACCTACTCACTAAAAGTAAAAGTCCGGTCCTGAAGGAGGGCAATACCCGCCATGTTATCGACGGCAATAAACAAAATCGTTACTGTGCCATCTTTTCTTTATTTGATGTTTACAGTGGGAAAGCAAAAGTTTTCACTTCCTTGGAAAATGTGTTTGGGACCATTGATCAGTAGGCTGAATTATTAAGGGCGTTTTATGGAACTTTTATGTTGCCAACCTTTATCTTGATGGCTTTACTTGTATCGTATGTCTTTTAGTTAACGGATTTCCTCACGACTTCCTACAACTTTATGTTTCAACTCACCGCGTAGCACACTACATATAAAAGTTGCCTTAGCTCTTTTATATGTAACTTATGTACATTTCAAATTCGTTTATTAATAGAAACAATACAATCGAGAAAAATTTGAAAATGTAAAAGGCTAGTTATCATCATCATCATAAGGATGTCAGTCCTAAGACTGGTTATACATGCACCTCCACTCCTTCCTATCCTGAGCTAATCTTTGCATTTTCCTAAAACTAGAACATTTCACATCCTTAACTATTTGCGTTGTTCTCTGTTTTCCTATTCTTTCTAATACCTCTTCATTTCTGACCTCTATCCACGTACCTATCCTCATCATTCACCGGTAACACCACATTTCGAATGCTTCTAACCTTTCCTTTTCCACTTTTTCCGTCTATGTTTCGCACCCGTACAGCGCAGCTCTCCAAACGTACGGCTTTAAAAGGTTAGTACTCTCTACTTGTTCCTATCTTGGGTCAATCTTCCTGTATCTCGAAAACCCACTACATCCCTTAATATTTGCAAACTGTAATGTAATGTAGGTCTATCTTTGTCCCTTTTAATTCCCGATTCTGTTTCCAATTTGTCTCCAACTAGCCTATTTCTTATAAACATCTATAATGCTCTTTGTTCTCCTATTGTCTCTAATATCTCTTCATTTCTGACCTTTAATAGGTATCCACTGTATTTTTAGCATCTTCCTATAACACCACAAACGCTTCTAATATAATAACGATAATTTTTGCAAATTATTGAACAAACTGGATCATTTTACATTCCATTGTGTATGACAAATGTGTTAAATATAGTAAACGCAAAAAGTAGTAAAAAAGTCCTTTTTTCTCAAAAATTTGAAGCAAAATTCAATCAAAAACAACAAAGTTTTACCAATTTTTAAAACTATCAAAAATCACACACCTAATTTTTCATCACGTAAAAGAAAATAAGAAGGAAATGACAGAAAGAAAAATGAAGAGATTCTAACGAGGGTTGATGACGCTTAACTCTTATTTAAATTTATTGTGAACTAGTCGTCAATTGAATGGGAATTGAACCTGGTTGTTGACTTCCAGCGGAAATATCGATATTGTTGCGCCTAAATGTCCATCTAATGCGTATATTTAAAAATGGATGTTTCTATTTTTGTCTTTTAATTTAGAAACCTTTCTTACAATATGAGCAATAACTCACCAAAGTTTCATCGCAATCTGAGAATGGCTACATTAGTGAATAGCGTCTCAAACCCAGGATTGATGGCCGTGGTCTAGGATTGATATTATCCTTCTTGGGTGAGAACACAGATGGATTCATTAATCCGATTGTACCACAGCGATATTCACTAAGATTTCGCTACCTTCCCTGTCCTAAAGATTATTACCACTGCTGTTGGCGAAACGTCGGATAAACTACTCCATCGGTACTCCCGAAGGAGAAGAATCAATCCTAAATCACGACTATTAAATCCAAATGCGATCCGTAAAAGCCTTAGCATTTTTTGGTGAATTTTGTCGCCCTCGAACAATAAATTGCGAGACATGGATTTAGTAATCAATAGAAATGTAGATTACTAAAAGCTTTCTACTAAAGTAATTTATTAGGGGCTTTAATAAAAACCCTTCATTTGTAGCATTCACGAATACGTATCTTATAATAATTTTCATTACTTTACATTCGTTTCAAGGTAGTAATAAAGCGTAGAAGAAGTCGTCTAGACGTTTTTTTGTGGATATGTTTAATGAAAATATGATTGTAATCAAAAGAAGAATATAGTGGAAACGGAATTTGTACCTACTGCTTGAATTCCTGTGTCAACATGTTAACAGTAAGTTTGTAATTACTAACTTCTGCTTGTGTTAATTAATTTCGTTGTTAAGTCGGCGGAGAATTATTTGCGAGTTACCGATTCAATTCGTTCTGTAAAATGGCTTATGATATTCCGTTAAATTAGGAATATTTTGTTTTAAATCTTTGTGACGGGTACAATTCCTTTTCCTTCTTTAACAAATCTGAACGTCATAAAATGTAGGGGTAATCAGGAAGTAAGAGACATCGAAAGAAATTGCACTTATCTCATTCCGTCAAGGCAACAACAACTTGAAATGCTTTCCTTTTAGTCGAACTAAAAACTTCTGAAGTAAGTATACAGTTTCTTGCTGAAATGTCAGACGTGATTTTCTCTCGTATGTCACGTATTTATCCTTTCTTGCAACAATAAATTATAAAGAACACTATTGCAGCAACTGTGGAAAACCAAGCCAAATCAAATAGCAAAATTATTTAATTGTTGATATTAAAGTCATTTTGATAGACAGTGAGGAAAGGGCAGATAGGTGGAAATAATAATTATGGAGAACCTATACGCAGGCCGTGAGTTAGGATATATATATTAGAGAAGGAAGATAGTGTGGAGATGGATGAGCTAGGTTATCCCATAATGAGAGAAGAGTTCGATGTAGCATTAAAAAACTTAAAGAATAATAAGGCGCCAGGTGTATATGGGATACAGGGTGAAATTCTAAAACATGCAGGACAAGAGGTTAGAGATCGTATGTTTAAGTCACATTACGAAACGGGGAAGTTCCAGAGCATTATAAACGAAACGTGGTAGTAACCGTACCTAAAAAGAGGGACGCGGATAGGTGCGAGACAATTAAAACAATTAGCTTACCTTCTCATGCGTCAAAAATCTTAACTAGAATTGTACAGAGAAGGATGGAGAAAAGGGCTGAAGGACTATTAGGGGAAGATCAGTTTGAGTTTAAAATAAAGAGGAACGCGGGAGGCCACTCTAACTTTACGGGGAACAATAGAGAAAACCATAGAAAAAAGAAAGACTGCGTACATAGAATTTGTAAACGTTAAATGGAACAAGATGTTAAATGTACTTAAAAATGTAGGGATGAGTTACAAAGATAGAAGTTAGGAGGGTAGAGGTAAACCTAGATTAGATTACTGTTCGCATATAGTTAAGGATGTGGGTTGTTCTAGTTTTGGTTAAATGCGAAGATTAGCTCAGGAATGGAAAGAGTGGAGGTGCGTCTCCAACCAGTCTTAGGACTTGCGACCTTATGATGATCATTAACGTCAAGCAATTTGCAGAAGCGTATTAAGCTACTTGGCTTGATGACTCAATACCTAAAATTTTGGCATAGGCCCACAAATTTTGCATCTTGAGCAAGTAGAGTAACTTCGCTCAAGCGGGGCTCGTAACTCAAAGAGAAATAAAAAATTTTGACTGTTAGAGTGAAGATAGTGATAATCGTCTTCACTTAAAAATATTAAATTAAAGTTCTTCTTCATGAGGTTGCTACATGAATAAATGAATAACTGAAAAAAAATCGGTTGTCTGTAAAGTCGGTTTACTGACGATAGTTGAACGTGACAACGTCATAAGAAAATACTGATGGAATGGTTTCATTTTTCAAAAGAAAATTTTAATTTTATTTGTTTGATAGATATTTTGTATGGATATAGAGAAGGAGGCAAATAGAAATGTATTATTGTATAGCAGCTGTCCACGCGGACGCAATGCTCACTCAAGTAGGAGAGAGACAGATGTCGAACGCTGCCGAACGCGGAGGCCGATTGTGTCTCTTTGTCGCTCGTTCCGCGCTCTCGCTTGCACTTCAAACCTTAAATGGAACGCCTCAGAGCGAGGTAATGCCGCATGAGTCATGTTTTTTCGTTCCATCGAATTATAAGACGTTGTCACGTCAAAAACGTTAGGGCGTCTTAATCTTCACCTATTTTTCAATGTTATTTGACTTGAAAGAACTGCTTGATTATTAAAATTTGAACATTCCCGTAGAACTATAATTTTTCCGATAGGTAATTGACTTCAATGAATTTATTGTTACAAACATATCTCCGTTTGCTCCATTCCGGAATGTTATGGCGTAATTGAAATAGTGACGTCCAAGACGAAATGCCTTTCCGCTTGTTCTTTTTGTTGTTTTTTTGCGACTTTTTTGTGAGATGAACCTTTATACTTTTCAAACGTCGCATCGTCGTTGTTTGTTAAACAACACCGGATGAAAAATGCGCTCCTCCCTCGGGAGAGAAAGAGAGAGAACATTTGATTTGCATGTAAATTTAAATCTGGAACATAGATTGATCGTTTGGTATGCTGCCACTATTTGCTACTAACACAATTCATTCCTTTCTGCCGCTGGGATTTATTTCTCATTGTAGGTAGGTGCCTCATGGGCAGGTACCTCCGTGAATTTAAAGAAGCAACGTCGTTATCTTGGAATAATTACGTAAATATAAATCCGTCTGTTTTGAAATCAGTTTTAAATGAACAAAGTCATTTAAGTAGTCGTTATTCTTAATATTTTTCTTTTTGAAAAGTTGGGACTTCGATCTCATTTCCGAACTTTCAAGTTCACTTTCTATGTAAACTCGCAGTTTAGCAAATTAATAATAACTAGGTATTATTTTTTGTTATTTAGAATTTGGTAATCGATTCGAAAAACTTTAACGCATACCAGACTAAAAAAATCGCGAACATTGTGTGACATTATGTACACAAGATGCATTTACATACTAATTCTATCACTATGTATGAATTTTAAAAACTAAATAATTTTCTTCTCGCTGTTCTGCTATTTCTCCACAATATTTCTA